TTTGCTGAGCTGTTCCGCGACGAAAACAAGCTTTAGCAATGGCGATGTCGAATGGTGCACACTCGGTAAGTAATCCTACAATTTTTTGTTTATAGCGTAGTTTATACAGATTATTCCCAAAAATAATATACGTATTTTGGAAATGTTGAGTCGAATTAGTCTAGAATTGATTAATTTTATGGAAGAAAACCTTTCAATCAGCTGTAGTCCGTAAACTTCACACGTGTCGGGCTGTGATTGGAAGGACTCGTAAGAAATCGGATTCCTAAAGAATGGAACGTATCTATGATGTTATAGGGGGGTCGACTGTAATTAATATATAATTATATGTACAGTACCTAATTTATATATAATACTGTACAGACGATAGTAAACTCAATTTACCCGCCTAAACTCTCCATAGCATGGCGCTGGATGGCGGAAAGTAGTTTGGCTGCCCGATGACGTTTTACCGAATTACAGGAGTTTTTTTACCAGGTTTGTACGGATACCATAGCAATTTTTTCGCCATCATATAGGAATCCAAACTATAGGAACCCGTGTTATAGGGGGGTTGACTGTAATAAAAAGTGTTTCAAACAGTTATTAATTATTTGGAGCATTACTGGCATGGTTAATTAGACTGATAGTTCGGTAGTTACTACAGTCTGTTGGTACACCTTTTTAATAAATTGGAATAAATATTGATTTAAACCATTCCTCTGGCCATCTCTCAGATTTCCAAATTAAGGAGCAGATTTTATGAAATACAGTAATACCCCAAACTTACGCAATAGGTGGGACCGAGCGATAACCGCGTAACTCGAATTTGCATAAGTCGGGGTATAATTTCACAATTTGTGTAAAATCCAAGTCGGATGTATGTAAACTAATAAATGTTCTCGTTAATCTTATCTCGTCTTTTGATTCGTTCACGGTTACAAGAAATCACCACATATTATCTCTCAAGGCTCCTTAGATATAAACAAACACAGAAATAAATAACACAAAATAAATTGTAGCTATGTGTCGATTCCGCGCGACATGTCCAAACATGTAAGCTGAACAATAGTATGGGGGGAATGAGTAATCAAGAGTTGCGTGGCGCTCAAACAAAAGACAAATCAACGAGATTTGAAAATCGTGTAACTCCGGGTTCGCGTAAGTTGAGGTATTACTGTATGTCAACACCCAGTTCTTCCATTGCTTTTAAAATTTCAGAGGTTATGTTGTCAAGTCCCTGTGCTTTGTGATTTTTTAATGTATTTATGGCTTTTTCTACCTCTGATTTAAGAATAGATGGTTCAACTTTCCCTGTCTCTGAAGTTGATTATTACCATTTGTTTGTCCAGTGTCATTAAAAAGTTTTTCACAATACTTTCTCCAGACATCCACAATTCCTTCCACATCAGTTATGATTCATTTAATTTTAGTTATCATCATTTAATTTGACTTAAGTGTCTTTAAACATAAATTAAATTAAATACAAAATACGTGAATGTCAATTAATACGGATTTTTATTACTTAATTTGATTTAGATTCAACTGCTGCATGTACAGAAAAACAGTAGTAGTATCTTTCCTGCATGCACATTGAAATCTAATTTTAAATAGCAACATCATTGATGATTCCTATCGTCGATTGGCCAGGCTGTCGTCAACTTTTCGTTAACATAGGAAGTAAAGGGAGTTGACCATCTGTCTCGCTCTAATCTGTGGTCAGGTCTTGTCATGTAGCTTGTTTGGCAACAGTTATTGTATAGAAACTGGTGCAATTATGAATTTGAAACTCTGGTCATTGTTCATGAACTGATTTATTTGAAAAGTGAATCATTTGAAACCTGAAGAAGTTTGACTATACATACATACATAATACACACATATATATATATATATATATATATTTAGAACTAATGTCAAATTATCAAATTTATTTATATAAATTTCAATTATTATTTTAATCAATATAAACATACCTTGGGCTTTCACAAGAAATTCCATTTTTCACTTCATTATCACTAAAATTGTTACATGAATTTATTGGTTTTTCAGATTCTGGTGTTTCAGGTATTACATCTGATAATAATAAAATTAATTTTTAAATAAAAATATTATTTTGTAAATTTATCATTAACTACTTAGTTCATTAAAAAATATTATTTCATAATTTGTCTTATTGATTTTGACCTTAGATTGATATGAAAATCAACTGAATCTATTAAATATTTATTCATGAAATACTTTTTGATCTAATTTTAATCAAATTTTGTCTTTAACAACAAAATTTACTGTGATTCTTTTTACCCTTTCTGCTTTATAACTTATACATAATATACATAAAGACACAAAAGAAGGAACCGCATCAGCCAAGAATCAAACCTGAGCTGTCATGCATATTCCAGATTTATGTAATTAAAGTATATTTTAAATTATTATTTAAAGTTGGAGTTGATCTTCCAAAATTGTGAGTCAGAGTCAGAGACTTGGCCTACCAATACCACAGCTCTGATAATTATAGTATGATAACATTACGAAAGGACTTACCAACTTCTTTACGTGAAGAAACTGGTGTTAACTGCAAATCATTATTCTGAGATGAATTACTGGAAGATGGGGTAGCACGAGAAGTTAATTGCTTTTTTTGGAATCTGAACTGACGTAATTTGTTTATTAAACTAGGAGAACTGGATTGGGAAGAATCACACATACTTGGCATTCTTTGGACAAACAATCCTATAACATAATTAAAATTAAGTTATAAATCGTTTTTAAAGATAAATTTCATATAATTTCATTTTACTTTTAAATTAACATCTCTTTTAATAATAATAATTATCTATATAATATATATAATTCTTATAAAAAAAAGGATATAATTTAAAAATATATATTATTCACTGAATTACTGTGACAATGATATAGCGTGAAATAGATGTGCCATTACATCATTGCTGCAACAGGTAGCACATAGCTTTCCCAGAGGGTAGTAGTGTTTTGCTCTTGTACTTTTTCTGTTAGCAAGAGAGTTGTGTCAGTTACATATCTAACTCTGTTCAGGGAAAAATTTTTAAATTGAAATAATGTGATTTGCAGTACAAATCAAAAGCTCGTATATAGTTAATCTGGTCCTCTTTTTCTTACAATTTCCATGTTTGGTCTTACTTTCATCTAACTCCATTCTTGAGATTAAGGAAGGACAGTGGAAATTTATAGGTCTATAATTTTTTCAAATTGCAACCCAATAAGTACCCTCCAGTAACTGGGTGGATAAAACCACCAAACACCGGTAGTCGGTTGTGGCTTCACACATGGCCAACAAACTGATTAGGAGGAGTTTTCTGAGTTTTCTTTGCATTAGTAGCACTTAAATTGTGACAAACTTCACATAAAAGTCTTTCTGGGGTGCATCCGTCTTGGCAGATTGCTCAAATGTCACATTGCTGTAACCAAATAAACCAAATCAATTCTAATTCAATTCAATTCTAATAATTTTTCTATAAACGCGATATTTACAAGGGTATGCTTAACTACCAGGAAACCTGGACATCCCACCCCCAGATTTCATCTCCCCTTAGTAACTCATAAACCCACTGTCCCAAACTTCTTTCTCTGATACTGATAAAGATGTTCAAACATTCAGCCAAATTAATGTACAGTATGTGCAATGATTTTAAGGCACAAAATAAAGCTCAAAGTCTTTTTCTGTGCCAATGTTTATTTTTCCCATTTATTATCATGGTGACATTGCTTCATCCAAAACTTCCTGTAGTTGTAGTCTGTGTAACATGCACTTGACTCTTACTGTCAAATCATCTTCTAGTATGCTTATGTCACAACTTTCAAAAGTTTCCTTTACTTAAATGTTTTTTCTGAGCTTTACTTTTTTTAACCTGGTTTCACCAGTTTTTTATGGGATCATAAAAAAAGCAATTATTCTTACATTTTTACAAGATTTTTTTTTATTTATACAAGTCTCATATTAAGTCTTTTGGACGTTAATGTTAGCAACTTCAATCACATGCAGGACCATCACAACCTATCCAACACAGATCACTTTTTCAAATATTAATAGTAAACTAGTATTAATTAGTAGTCGTTGACCATCCTCTCTTCCGGGAGGTCAACTATTACTTTTGGTCAAATTAACTTCAACCTCCATCTGTAACACTCCCTTCTTCCTATCAGACCCATGGTGTATGGTGGCATTCGAATAAGAAAATTACATAATATGAGGTTACCAGCCTGTACCAAATATGATTTAAGTGGTTTTTGAGGGTGCTAAGTTTAAATATTTGGTCCATTTTTTGCAAAATTTTATTCATTGGCAGATCACCATTCAATATTCCGCTGAGAATGAAACAGTTTGTTAGTGTAGTGTTAACACTAGAAACAAATACAATATCTTAAATTTCTTAAGCCATCATATTTTTAATTGGTATCTATTTGACCAATGAAATTGTGCCATTTCATAGAATCAGAGTATTGCAATAAATGGGACAATGATAAGTTAAAATAACCAAACTCTTTATCTTGTTTTAATATTTGTTATATCATATTATTTAATTTATATAACTATAAAGATTATCTTATGTAAGAGTTTATCACACCAAGCAACCAATCTAACACATTTTAAAAATTTTCCTTCTCTACTGTACACAATTTAAAGAATTTTTAAACTGGTTAGATTGGTTGCTCAGTATGATAAACCCTTATATAAGATAATCATTGTAGTTATATAAATCAAATACTATAATATAATATAATATAATAGAGAGGTTAGAAGTAAGAAATAATCTAATAATCTTAATGTTTGTACTTATTTTTTTGCCTAGACAATGCAAGACTTACCTGTTAGTTTTAAAAATGGATTAGCTGAAACAGTTTTGGATTTTTCAGAATTGTTTTAGAAAAACTAAGTTTAGACAGATTATATATAGAAAATAGGAATAAAACTAACAAGAAAATAACAAATACAAAATAAAATAAGTAAATATAATGAGTAAAAAACATAAATATAGTAAAAGGTGATAAAGAATATTATAAAACTTTAAATAATGACCTCCAAGTATGCAACACCACTGCAGAATCCTTAAAGTTAATTGCAATTCCTTTCTTGATAGCTTTATTACCTACAACATCACACCTCAACTCTGACAGGTCTTAAATATTTGGAAAGTCTGGAAATTTATAAAGCTATCAAGAAAGGAACTGCAATTAACTTTAAGGATTCTGCAGTGGTGTCACATCTTTGGTAGACATTATTTTGAAGTTTTATAGTATTCTTTATCACCTTTTGCTATATTTATGTTTTTACTCATTATATTTACTTATTGTATTTTATATTTGTTAGTTTTAACCTATTTTCTATATTTTATTAAATATATTTGTATCTGTGCTCTTGTGCATGTGACTTGCTATGTAAATATTTATTTATTTAATATTTATAGTTTTCAAACATGGTTTTGATTCAATTTATTATGTTCCATTCTAGAATCTGAAGATGGGCCTTAAATATCGTTCCATTAATAAATCTTCCTTTTTACTAAATTTTATGATTTTTTTGAGTTAATACATATAGTTATCATTCTAGTCCTATTGTTTTTGATCAGGCAGAAAAGGAACTATCAATAACTTTCCTCTTTGAGATGAAATTGCTAATTGTATCTACACAGATAGCAGCTTGCAACTCTTTGATATTGGTAGTTGGTCTTGGTTAAATTATTATTATATCATTTCATAAGTGACTGCACCAAATTGACACCTAATATGTTATTTTTAAACTTATTAGTGTGACTTCCACAGTGATCCAGAAAGCTTTTTGTAATCATTTCAAAATTATGCATGGTGATTTGCATGTCTCAATCATTACTGATGGTAGGTAGCTAAATTTATAATTACCCTTTCTTTACCAGCAGCAAAAATAAGTTGTCCCCCATAATTTTAAAACAAACCTTTATATTGGTTGTATAGTGTCCCATAAGGAATAATACTTTTTAGCAGCTTTATTTAATGACCAACTATGGTCAATAAGTTTTTCATATACCATTTCACATCTCTCATCTGAAAAATTTGAATAAAACCCTCTTTCCTGCTTCTTTTTTATAAGTTCAGACTACATTCACAAATTTCAGCACAAGATCTAAAACAAAAATTACACTGCCAGAAAACTGAATCAATGACCCGCACTAACAAAAATATCAAATAAAAAAAATCCAGCAATGAGTTGCATAACTTTCCTAGATATTATGAGATCTTATTTAGAAAATAACTTTTATCATTTTAATTATAATATAACTTAATGAAACTGTGTCATCTGTCAGGAGAATTTTGTTATAAAAAAACTTCTTTTGTAAAAAAATGGCTGACTAATTTACAATTTAATAAAACATAACAGACTATTAATGACTTCACTTTTTCATCATGTCCAATCATTAGGAACAATTATCTTCCACTGCAGAGATGACCCTTCTTTAGAGGCTATATTATATAGTGAAGACATTTTTAGTCTGTTACGTTTTATTAAATTGTAAATTTGTCAACCCTTTCTACAAAAGAAATTTTATATTTTTAATTGTGCTAGGATTGTCACCTGTGAACTTCAGACTGTTTTGCATTTTTTTGCAAAGGTGTAGCCTCTAAAGAAAGGTCATCTCTTCAGTGAAAGATAGTTGTTCCTGGTGATTGGACATGACGAGAAAGTGAAGACATTTTTAGTCTCTGTTATGTTTTATTAAATAAAAAAAAGTTTTTATATTTTTAATTACTATAAAATGGCAAAAAGTTTAATTTGAGGATAGGGATGAGTTTTATGAAAAAAAAAGTATAAATGCTAATAATGAGTAAAATTATCATTAAGTCTGACCCTACTGGAGTTACATATGATCCCCTGTATCTCCCACCCCCTAGACTTTTAACCACCAAAATTTAATAGCATCAATGCCCCTCATATATAAGCCATCATGCCAAATTTCATTACTTAATCTTTACTTCATCCTGAGATATTAAGCAAAATAGATGCCAATACACACACATCCACAGAATTTTTTTTCTTTTTTTTTTTAATTTTTTGGATTCAGGAGATCTCAAAACAATGAAATAGAAATTTGCAAAACTCAGAGGGTCAAATTTGACATGATTCCAATATTTTTCCTTGTTATGTACACAAAACAGCAGGGAATGTAACAGGTATTTAAAACTTAATTCAAAATTCAGGCTTAAGAAATAAATAACCCATAAGAAATATTATCAATCTCAATCCAAAATCCAATCAATGTTGTCCTGTATTATAAACATGGCTGCCATCAGCTTATACCAGCATAATATTTCTACAGTTTAGATTTAGGTATTAAAAATAGCTAAGATAAATGAACCCTACACAGAGAAGAAACCAATTCTTGTTCCACCTATTTTCACTATTGAAAACCACAAAAAAACAGAACACTTTTTTCAGGAGCAGATAAAAAAATATTCAATCTACAAAATGTTGCAAATTAGTGCTAGTTTATCACATACACTTGCAGTTCAGTCCTTACACACAGGCTGTTTGTTGCCACTTCATGGATATCAATGGATTATTCAAAGTGTGAAATTTGAAGAAGAAAACAAATATTTGTGCTATTATCAAACTGATCCCTTAAAATCAATCTCATGCCATTTATGGTAATTCCTTTTTTGTAATAGTGGTGTAATAATTCTGTACATCTGCTACCATAACAAATGAAACAATGAAGATT